TAAGAGAAAAAATAAGCACTGAAAAGGATCCATCTAATTTAAAACTAACACTCCTACCACAGTAATTTCAGAGAAGCCGTGAGGATATAAATCCAAATGAAATATATTGAAGAGTATATGAGAGGTGAAAAAGTCGCCAACAAACTTGGCAATAATGATAAGTTGGGAAATTAGGTGTGCCAGAGGACAACAAAGAATTGAGCATAATGCCCCACGCCACTTTTTTTTTTTTTTAATCAATGAAGGAATCATATATGTTACTAGGCTTTGGGAAACAACCAGAGAGAGAGACAAGTTAAAAATACAGGAGACAGAGGGGATGATGGCTAGGATCAAGAAGGGACCACTCTTCAATGCTTCCATTGATTCTTCACTGTGGTTACTCCTGCCCAACATCACCTCCAATTCAACCTTTCTGAAATACAGCTTTGCAAATGTCACATCTTTTACCTCTTTGTCCCTGTTCCAAAGCCTTCAAGGAATATTTATTGTCCAAAAAATATTATTTGAATGCCTTCCCAACATTCAAGACCCTCCATAATCTTGCTCCAACCTAGTTTTATGATGTTTATTCTTTCTATAACCTATGGACTCTTCTCTAGTCAAATTTCCTTCCTCACCCCTTTAAATGTCTCCCTAATATAGCTTCTTTCCTTGTCTTCACTTAACTTCTTACCTCTGTCCTATTTGAGGTCAATTTAAGTCTCACTACCTTCAGAAAATATTTCCTGAAACTGCACAATTCACTGACTGCCTCTTCCTTTCTAACTCTCCTAGACCCAAGTGGAAGTTGCAACGCACCCCCCAAGTGATTTTTGTGTGTGTGTTTTGTTTTATTTGAGCTAGCTTCCAAATTTACAAATCAGAAATTTTCACATAAAAATTTCCAGCTTCTTTTGAAAAATTGAAAGATGTGGTGATACTGGGTCTATATTCCCTCCTGGCAAGAATGGGCTGGAGTTGAGTGGTCACAGCTGGCTCGTTAGCTAGGGCATGCACTCGAGTTTATGCCTGCCTCACAGTTCTCATATATACATGTGACTGGCTCATGTAAGCATTTGGGTTTGTAACCCCAAGTCTAAACTATGGCTGGACACATGGTATACACTACCTGGTAGTTATTGATCTTTATATTTATCATGTGTTCCAGAAAAAGTTCCACGTGGGCAGTTCCACATTTTATGCCTTTTGGGGATTTCTCACAATGCCTAGCACAAACACCTAAAAACATAGGAGAATACTTAGTGTAAGATAAAGGATGATGATGTCGATAATAAGAACCTAGTCTTTTTGTTAACTAACCACATCAGTCAAAAAAAAAACTACAGTTACCTTATTCCGAAATTAAATACCAAGAAAAAATATTCTATACAAGAAAATTAAACTGCATAAGAAAGCATTGGGAATGAAGATGGGAAGGTAGTACCAGGAAGGTTGACTTCAGTGACACGAGCCCAGGTCTTGCAGCTAGAGCAAGAAGTTTGTAATTTATCCATTGTAATTAGTGGGTATTTCTGATTTCTATCCAAAGCTTCTTGCTGGAAGACTCCATTAGTCCTTATTTCCTCACTCATGTCAGACAGCTGAGACCCAAAGGCTGAAAAAAAAAAGGATGATGGATAGTGGCGATGGACACTGGGTTGGAAAAGGAACTAGCTACTCATGTGGCGGTTACCTTTTCTCTAATGTAGGGAAGTACAAACAGGAACTACTCCCAACCTGTGGAGCCCACAGAGGTGGCTAGAGCTTCAGGGTGAAGGATAGGCCAGGATCTGAATCCAGATCATATTACTCCATAGTCAACACACCCTACCACTACACAAAGAGAGAAGGATTTACCATGAAGCTAATGAAGCTTAACCTTCGGGGCCCTTGCACAAGTCTTCTTCAAGGCTCTGAGCAGGACCTTAGTAGCATGTTCATGTGGTCATTATAAAATTTGTAAAAGTAAGATATTTTAATAGCAAATGCCTAAGAGCCATATTTTGGGTTTGGGGTTTTTTTGTTTGTTTGTTTTTTGACTCAGACTCTCTCTAATACCTTTCCCTTGTTGGGCATTTTTGGGATCTGGCTAAGAAGAAGTTGAGATGGGATACAATTATTTTGGGTTATATTTATGTGGTTTACAGTCACTTTCATTAGAGTTGAATTATTGCTAGATATGCGGAGTTAGAAATGGCTTTCAAGAATACGCCTATTACCTACTGGGTAGATTCCTCTGGCATTATGACCCAAAGTTGTAGGGCCAGAGGTCATATCTTGATATAAGTGGCATATCTTGATATATATGGAAGAGAAACAAGATTAGAAATGTTTGGAGCCAGAAGCTGGTCTGTGAAAAGTTCTTCCAATCATCACACATGTAAAATTTTAAGTGGAGGATTCGGTTATCATTAACAAGCATCCAAGACAGACCTCAATGATCTCTGCCTCCTGTTATTCATGCCCTTATTCAGTCCCCTCCCACATTATGTCAGGGGTGCTCTGTGTGATAGTAGAATTTGGAAGAAGTGATATTGTATGTCACTTCTAAGGCTAGATTATAAAAAAGCGTTGCATTTACAGCTTCTGGCCTGGTGTCTCTCTGTCTCTGTCTCTGTCTCTGTCTCTGTGTCTCTCTCTCTCTCTTGTGTGTGTGTGTCTCTCTCTTCCTCTCTCTCTCTCTCTCACACATACACACACACACACACACACACACACACAGCCAGCTACCCATATTATGAGCGGCCCCATGGGGAGGCCAACCTGGGGAGAAATTGAAGTCTCTTGTTAACGGCTATATGAATAAGCTTGGAAACTAATCCTCTAGCCCCAGTCAAGCCTTCAGATGACTTGTAAACCTGGCCAACAATTTGATTACAACCTCATAAGAGACCCTGAGCCAGAACCACCCAGCTACGCTGCTCTCAATTTCCTAACCCACAAAATCTGTGAGATAAAAAATGTTTATTGTTTAAAGCCACTAAATTTTAGGATAATTTATTGTGTAGCAATAGATAACTACACATCTAGTAAAAATGGCAATTCTTGCCTGGTCAGGAATATATTCAATAATCCAATAATAATTCAACAAAGTCCTAGTGCTTATACACATAAGAAATTTGATAGAATTTTCATAACATTATCAATAAGTTGTGGAGTTGAAAATTTCCTAAACTATCATTGATAAAATTATTTTTATTAAAGATATCAGAGGAGTGATTTATTTATTGTTTATAGAGAATTTTACAAAACTGTTGTCATATGAAGAGGCAAAAAGTATGCAGCTAAATATATAAAAATGTATTATGGAGGCTTATAGATTTATTAGTAAAAATGTGACTTTTTGAATTTATATGATACGAAGTTGGTTTTTAATATGTAATTTGTTGTCATCTCCTCTCTTATAAATGAATATTCATTTTTGAATTAATTTTGTCTCAATAATTTTGTATTCTTTTTCTAGTGGACTTATAAAACCTTTGCTCTCACATTAGCTATCATAAAATCTTGTCAAATTTTTACTGAAGAGGTCTAGAGCTTATTTGAAATTCATTTAGATTCAAGGTGGGGTTTGAGTAGGAGGAATCTGGCATTGTGCCCTTGCTCTAAATACTTTATGCCCTTATAACATGGAAGCCCACATCCACCCCTAAGAATTCTGTTTGTGTACATTGGGGGGATCCCCATGGGTACTCTTCCTTGGCCTTTGGAGGATATCCTGACTAGTTCTCCTTCCTTTTAATAGCCTCAGGCTTTTAACTTCTGCCCTCTTCAATGTCTGTATTACCCTATTAGTTTTATTTTTCCCCCTTAGGAGAGACTAATAAAAACTGAAACATGATTATTTCCATCAAAGAGGAACTGGTGAAACTTATTGTAAAACAGCTTTATTATGATATGGGTTAAAAATAATATGGTAAGTATCTAAGCACTGATGACCATTAAAAGATATTAGAAATAAATTGGAAAATTAAAAAAAGCAAATTACAAAAAAAATACTGTATTTCATTCATTTTAAGATGTGTATTCTTTCCAAATTTACCATCTCTGACCAATAGCCGCTATGAGTTTAATTGGCAGGGTTTTTTTTTCTTTCAGATGTCTGTGAAATAAGATGCATCTTACAATTATACCTTAGATTTGATGAACTCTAACTATACATAGCATACCAGTCAGACCAGGACTGCAGCTTGGAAAGCCCTAAACTGGAAAGCCTATCAGCTGTTTGGAAAGCCCTGTGTTAAACTGAAAAACTCAGGTATTGTAACAGACAGAAATTGGTTACCAGGAATCTGCTTGTTAGGTCTAGTTGATATGGCAATCACAGAGTTGTCATGTAAGACAGGGACTGGATCTAGTATTCTAATGTTGTGACTTCTCACTTTGAAAGAAGATAAAAGCCCAGGTGTAAGGAGACTCAGGACAGAGTCATGGGCTAGCTGGACTTCTTCACAAAGCCCAAGAGGAAATAAAAGGTGCCTGGAATCCCATCTGCTTTACCATCAAGAGTACCCTTTCTTAGTAACAGAACTGTATCCTTTAAAGCTCAGTAAAACGTTGCCACCTAAGCAGGTTCTGTTGACCCTCTAAGCCAGCGGGATTTTAGGCTCTTATTAATTTATCACCGTTTTATATTTAAGTATATTTGCACGCAAAAAAGTTAGAAAGAATATATGCTAAATTAATGAGAGTATTTCTCAGGAACGAGATTAATGAAGGCTTAAACTTTCTACTCTCTATATATCTGTATTATTTACATTTTTTGAAAACTATTCACATGTATTATTTTTATAAGTGGAGAAAAAAGGTAAAAACATTCAAATGGGAAAATACAGGTTAATGTTAATAATTAAGTCAGGAGGCCACACCTAACGTTCCTCCTTCTCATGCCGCAAACCTCATGAACTTTTTAGTGAGCTTGAATTTTATCCAATACAAAAATTTGTTTTAAGAAATTTAACTCCCTCGAAGCCAATTTCACTTCTTCAAATAAAAATAAATGCACAAATCCTTCAATATTGCATAGGAAAAGTAGTTTATTTCTAAATTGGATATCTACACGATTGGGATTATTTATTCACTAAGCAAACACTTCTGGTAAGAATAAACTGAGCGCCTATTGTCCGGTAGACACAGCTCTCGCGACTTTCTCGTTTATTACCTTATTTAATGAAAAAAAAAACTTTTAAAACATCCAAAATAATAAAAATTAAATAAAACTTTTAAAAAAATCAAAGATTCTTTCAAGAAACCCATAACTTTCTAAAACGCGTTCCGCGGAAAGAGCGGGCCCCAAAGGCTTAGCACCTCCCCTCTCACGTGACCCTGTGACCGAGGCCGCCATCTTACGCATCGCCTCATAGAGGAAACTACATCTCCCAGAATCCTTGCGCTTGCGTCGTGCTGGCACTTTTACCGCTCCGGTCTTAGAGCTGAGCCTGTAGCCGGGCGCCATCTTTGACGCTGGCAGTATTGGGTTTCTGCTGGTGGTGCTGCTGGGAGGACGGCGGACGGCAGCGACTAAGAAAGAAGAAAGACGTGGCAGCAAGCAGGAATCGGGGATAGTGTCGTCGTTTCGGTAAAGTTTCTGTTCTCTGGTAACTAGACCCGTTTTTTGATTCCCAGGTGGCTTGGGACCGGGGAGGTGGGGGAGAGGGCGAGGGGAGTGGCCGCGGCCTCCCCCCTCGCCCCTGGGTCGCGGCCTACCCCGGGAAGCCAGCGGGTCCTTCGGCCCCGCCGTAACAACACCCCTCCCCCCCTCACCGCTGCCCTCGCCGGGGCGGGCCGGGAGTCCCGGATTCCCGTTCACGATTCTCGTCCACCCCACCCCCCACCCCAGCCCACCTCACCCGCCCACGGCGCCTGCTCCCTTCCCAGCCAATCGTCCTCCCCGCCCCCACATCCGGTGTTGGCGAAACTAGGAGCCCTGGGCAGGCCCCGAAAGCCTACTTGCTCCTGGACTGCTGGAGTCAGAACTGACGCTAAATTGCTTTCTTCGGGGCCACGGTTTCCCTAGTTTAGCGGATCCCCCACGCCTAAATTAACCATAGTGCCAGGAGCTGAATTTACCTACTCTGATTCCTCTCCAGGGTCCCACTACTTTGGAGGTTTTCTCAAATCCACATACAGAAAGCCACCGACCTTATTCCGGTATCCTACACCCCTTTCCTCCCTTAATTACACTCCCACCCCCAGCCCTCAGCATCGGAGTCAAGAGCAACAGGGACTTACGTTCTCCTTGTAGGATTGATGAAACCGTAATGAAGAACACCCCCTAAACTCCCATAATCGGTGCGGATTCCGATGGGGAAGGCCCATATTGTTGACATCTTCCAGGCCTTGTTTCTGGACCTTGAGAAGGAGGCTGTGGAACTAGTGATAGCGATGCTTTTTAGGGTAAATGTATGTAGGTATTGACGGAAGGGGAGGGATCAACCGAGAAGGAATGGAAGCTCATATTTTGTTTTTGCTGCTCATATAGAGTGCAGCTAATGAGTTACTTATTTAAAGGCCTAAAAGCTTCTCCAGTCTAAAAATGTCAGAAAATAATTTGGAGTAGTTTTCAGTCCAAACTAAATTGAATATGCATCTTGTGACCTTTTTTTTAAATTTTACTCTCAAAGCATTTTTTTATTTTTTTAGCCACCCACATTTTTTAAAATTATATTACTTTTAGAGCTGAAAGGGGCCAGCTAGCATTTGTTAATGACCAGTATGTGGAGTCTAATTTACCTTTCCAGAATTTACTTTTGGGATCGTATTGGCAAATCACAGTCCTAAGTGATTAGTGTTGAATAATGCAGTATGTTTTTGTTTAAATGAAGTTTCTTGAAAATAATTAGTTTCAGAATTAAGGGAAATTGATGTGGCTATTATGAGGCATCATAAAAATACATATTTTAAAAGCTAAAGGCATTTTAAGTAGATATAGTTCTTCTGATGAAGCAGAAAGAACAAGGGCCTGGGATTTAAAAAACTTGGCTTCTAACTGCTTTGACCAGCTCTATGACTCTGGGAAAGTGGGCCTCAGTTCTTTTTTCTATAACATGAGATTGGACAATTTGAATTCAGAACTCAAAGTTGGAAGGGATCTTAAAGCCCTCTGAGAAAGAGTTTGGGAATGTTCTCCATTGCTGTCACTTTTCCTTCAAAAATAACCTGGCTTGGAAGTCATGGATCCAAAGGGAATTTGACACTCCATAGAAATTGGAGAAAAGGAAATGCAAGTAGAGAGGAACAACTGTATTTCTGCATGAGTAATAAACCCACTGTCAAATTCTGGTACAAATTTTGGAGACATAAAGAGAATGAGTGTATGTACCCTAAGTGTACCAGTTTCATCACTCTCTCCTGGCAAAAGATGCAGCACTTGTAATGGTGCTGGGATTCTGGGATGTGTTTCTATTAATTCTAATACAGATAAAGAAGATGTTGTAGAGAGGAGGATGGTGGCAGAAGGAATGGATAAAGAGGCAAAATTGCCTGCTAAAAAGAAAAGAAAGAAGGGTTTGCGACTTAAGGGGAAAAGGCGACGAAAGAAACTAATCCTTGTGAAAAAATTTAGTAAGGATTTGGGATCTGGGAGGCCTGTTGCAGATGCCCCTGCTTTGTTAGCCTCCAGTGCCCCTGAGCAGGATGAAGAACGTCTTTTTGAAAGCAATATAGAAAAACAGATTTATCTACCTAGTACGAGAGCCAAGACCTCCATTGTGTGGCACTTCTTTCATGTCGACCCCCAGTACACCTGGCGGGCTATTTGTAACCTCTGTGAAAAAAGTGTTAGCAGGGGTAAACCAGGCAGCCATCTCGGGACATCTACCCTTCAGCGACATCTGCAGGCAAGGCATTCACCTCACTGGACCAGGGCCAACAAATTTGGAGTCACTGGTGGGGAGGAGGATTTTACTTTGGATGTACCTTTATCTCCCTCTTCTGCCGGCAGCAATGGAAGCTTTGAATATATTTCTACTGATCCATTAGATGGTAATAGAATGGGTAAAAAACGTGATAAATCAGTATCTGATGCCCTGAGGGCGGAAAGGGGGAGATTTCTCATCAAAAGTAACATTGTCAAGCATGCCTTAATTCCTGGAACAAGAGCCAAGACGTCTGCAGTTTGGAATTTTTTTTATACTGATCCCCAGCACATCTCAAGAGCTGTGTGTAACATATGTAAAAGAAGTGTGAGCCGGGGTAGGCCAGGTTCTCACTTAGGAACTTCAACACTTCAACGACACCTGCAGGCCACGCATCCCATCCATTGGGCTGTCGCCAACAAAGACAGTGGTGCAGTTGGAAATGGATTAGATGAGGCTGAGACAGAGAGAGATGATCTCTTAAGTGATACTTTGCATGGAGAGAAGTCTACAGGGAGCCAAGATTTAACAACTGAAGACCTTAGTGACTCTGACTCAGAAGAACCTCCTGTGTTAGAGGTTGAAAATAGATCTGAGAGTCCTGTTCTTATTGCAGAGCAAGATACCCTGATGTGTGCCCAGGAGAGAGAAACAACATACTGTGAAAATTCAGTCTCAAGTCGAATAAGTCAGGCAATTATTCAGATGATTGTGGAGGATATGCATCCTTACAACTACTTCTCAACCCCAGCTTTTAAGAGGTTCATGCAGATTGTAGCCCCGGACTATAGGTTACCATCTGAAACGTACTTCTTCACTAAAGCTGTACCTCAATTATATGATTGGGTCAGAGAAAAAATTTTCTTAACTTTGGAGAATGTTCAAAGCCAAAAGATCCACTTGACTGTAGACATATGGACCCATGATCCATCCACTGACTATTTTATTGTGACTGTGCACTGGGTCTCCTTGGAAACTGCACTTTCTTCCAATAATGGCAGGATCCCCAACTTTAGAAAATGGGCAGTGCTTTGTGTAACAGGTTTTGCCAAAGACTGTTTGGTAACCAACATTTTACAAGAATTAAATGACCAGATTGGTCTGTGGCTTTCTCCTAATTTCCTCATTCCTAGCTTCATTGTTTCTGATAATTCCTCTAATGTGGTACATGCAATCAAAGATGGCGGTTTTACCCATGTGCCGTGCTTCCTACATTGTTTAAATGTAGTCATTCAGGATTTTTTCTGTGAGCACAAAAGCATTGAGAATATGCTAGTGGCTGCTAGGAAAACGTGTCATCATTTCAGCCATTCAGTCAAGGCCCGTCAGATACTGCAAGAGTTCCAAAATGATCGCCAACTTCCATGGAAGAATTTGAAGCAAGATGAAACTGGCCATTGGATTTCTACTTTTTATATGTTAAAATGGCTCTTGGAGCATTGCTACTCAGTTCACCATAGTCTTGGTAGAGCCAGTGGAGTTGTACTCACCTCCCTTCAGTGGACTCTAATGACTTATGTTTGTGATATTCTTAAACCATTTGAGGAGGCCACCCAAAAAGTGAGTGTGAAGACCACAGGATTGAATCAGGTGCTACCCCTAAACCATCATCTTCTACTTTCCCTGCAGAAACTCAGAGAAGAATTTCAAGTTAGAGGTATTACACAGGCCCTCAATCTGGTGGATAGTTTATCTCTAAAACTTGAAACTGACACCCTACTAAGTGCCATGCTCAAATCCAAGCCCTGTATCTTGGCTGCTTTGTTAGATCCTTGCTTCAAAAACAGTTTGGAAGACTTTTTCCCTAAAGGTGCTGATTTAGAAACTTATAAGCAGATCTTGGCAGAAGAAGTTTGTAGTTACATGGAATCTTCACCAGAGGTTTACCATGTTGCAACTTCAGAAGCTTCTGGTCCTTCAGCTATAGTAGAAGCCGATTCATTTACCTCATCTATAAGAGAAGGCACCTCCAGTTCAGGGTCTGTTGATAGCTCAGCTGCAGATAATGTTGCCATTGGAGGCAAAAGCTTCATGTTTCCTTCTGCTGTAGCAGCAGTAGATGAGTACTTCAAAGAGAAGTATTCAGAGATCTCAGGAGGTGATGACCCTTTGATTTACTGGCAGAGAAAGGTGAGCATATGGCCAGCTTTGACCCAAGTTGCCATTCAGTATCTAAGCTGCCCCATGTGTAGTTGGCAATCAGAATGCATCTTTACTGCAAATAGCCACTTTCATCCAAAGCAGATCATGAGTCTGGACTTTGACAATATAGAACAGCTGATGTTTCTGAAAATGAACTTGAAAAATGTTAACTATGATTATTCTACATTGGTTCTGAGCTGGGATCCTGAGAATGAGGTTGTTCAAAGCAATGAAAAGGAAATATTATCTTAATTTTTTTTCTTTTTTCATTTAAAATGGGCAACATTGCTGTATCTTAGTTGCTGTAGTTGTTAAATATAGTTAAACTAATTCTTTATACACAAATCTGGGGAAACCTGAAAACACAAAAAAAGCCGAAAATTCCTCAGAGGTAATACAGTGTTGACAAAGTAAAGATTAATGATTTCACAGTAACTCAATATAGCTGTCACTCAAAATTTTATTTTTACCAGTTAAAAGATGTTTTTCATAAAATATAGTGTAGCATTGAAAGGCCTTAAGCAATTTCTGACTGATAGACTGAACTAGTAATTGGTTTTAAGTAAAAATTTTTCCCACCATGGAAAGTTTGATTACTCTGAAAGCAATGACAGAAAAAGATGTACTAAGCTGGTATTCCTCTCCCTCTTCCCCCTCATTTTTCTATTTCTTTAAATAGAAAATAGGAGATCTGAGAGTCCTGTTCCTGTTGCAGAGCAAGATACAGCTTGGCAAAAAAAAAAAAAAAACCTCATGAAATTGTTTTATATTTGGAAATTTCTAATTGCCTCCTCATACTGGTCAGCTTTATAATTTCAACTTAGTGTGATAGTTACCCTTTATATTTAGAATTGGATCTAAAGAAAAGGGAAACAAAACAATTAGGAAAGATTACTTTTAATCTTTGAATTGCCTTTTCTTAACCCTTATAAAATAGTATAAAAATATTGTTTAAGTACTTTTGCCGAATTATGGGTAAATGGCATAATGTAAGTTTACAAAATTTCAAAAGATTGAATGGGAATTAAAATGAAAGCCCCATTCATAAGCATACTTTGACAAACCTAGTATCTATTTTCTAAAGAATGTTTTTTTAATATTAAGTGATCTTAAATGTCTTTTAAAAATATAGTGAATGATCCATAATACTATATTCTTAACTGTGAGATTGTTTTGGCCTCTATTCTTAACTAAAAATAAGCGGTATTTTTATGTGTTAGGAATCATTTCCTCACTGGTAAAATAAGAGAATTGATCTCTGATCTTTAAGGTCTTTTTCCACTCTGAAAGTATGTTTCTGTGATTGAGTGGGAGACCAGAGATTTATGACTTTTAGTAAAAGTCTATTCAAAGTTTCAGACTGAATAACTAATGTAAGATCCCAATTTTTCCTTTTTTTCATTTTAGATTTGGGGATATTCCCTGCCCAAAAATTTCCTGGAAAATTGACTAGTATTAAGTGTGAGTAAAAGGTGTCCACTTTTTTTTAAGTTTGATTTTAGTTTTGTCTTGGATAGTATTTGGCAAGATTTAGCCTAGAAATAATGTAGTATTTATTACATGAGAATCAAAATTGCTTTATTACTGGGCTGGTTTCAAAATTTAGAATTCATTTCTATGTATCAAAATCGTTTTTGGGGTTTTTTTTTTTTGGTTTTTGGATTTTGGTTTTTTTGTGTTTTTTTTTTTTTTTTTTTTTTAATTCTTAAATGGTAAATGTACCATTGTGGAATGAAATTTCAACTTCAAAAGTTTACCCTTTTACTAACTGGAGTAAATGGATATTTACGTCTTTAGTTGTAGTCATCACTAGTAAAGAATTTGAAACTAGGCTGCATAAGCAAGCCTTTGCAGGGCCAATATTGAATTTCATGCCAGTTGACACTGGTGTTGCTGTAAAAGAAAGAAAAATCTTCCCTTAGTTAGAAACTTTCTATATTTTGACAGTGCCAGTTCAGTATGGCTATAATGTTGCTCTGCCTTCTACAGCTTGTTGCACCACTCTGTAGTTACTCTGTAACTATACGTTTCTATCTTTTTTGGTTAAACACTCCCTGAAGATAAAGATGATGATGATATACATACATCCATATTATACACATTGATATATGTTTAAGGACGTCCTTTCATCTTTATTTTGCGGGCTGGGCAAAATTTTGTGTAATGTATTAATATACTTCATACTTTTGGTATAGGAGTAAGTTCACTACTTTTATAATGAACTCAAATATAAAGGCTTTTGTAGTGTATTTTAAAAGGGAAAACTTACCCAAATGTTTTATTTCTACACATTCGTGTATATGTGTGTGTGTGTATAAGTCAGTTAGTATATATGTATATTATATACATAAAACACTTATATTTTTACATACAAGTATGCTTTTATTATACAGATAATAAAGATGGGGGAAGGTTTCTGTTTTTTTCTTAATAGGTGAAGAAATCTTGAAGACCAGAAATTGGATCTTATTGAATTTTGGTGTTCTTTTTCTTTTTTCTTTTTTTCTTTTTTTCTTTTTAAATTCTATTCGGCTATGGAAGATGGATTTTTTTTTTTTTTTCTTAAATAATCCTTTGAATCTCAAGTTCATCTTTAAATGAACTCTTTTTTTGTTTGTTTGTTTTTGTTTTTGTTTTTGAGGAGATAACTAGCCCTAGCTGTCTCCAGTCTGACAAAGGTTATTCGAATGGACTTAATCTCCCAGTAGTTGGGAGATGTTTTAAAAACACGTCCTGTGTTTGAATTGTGGCTGAGAGGTTCCCTTGGCAATGTGAGGAGGAAAATTCTTTCTGCCTCATTATTATTAATTCATGGATTGAGTGTTGGTTCGACCTACAGGCGTGATAGATTGGAACTCAGTGAAGACACAGACGTTCCTGTTGAGAGCAACCAGCTAATGTAAGTGTGAAAATGGTTTTTTTCCTCTTTAAAGGAATGAACATTTTTGTAATTTAAGACATGATTTCTCTGGATCAGTAAGAAATTAGCTATTGTCGAGACATTTTTTTTTGTAATTGTTTACAAGCTTTCGGTTTGGGGATGGAGACACTCTCCCCTCCCCACCCTTTTTTTTGATAATACATGCACATTATAAAAAAGGTAAAAACAATGTAGCCAGGGTGAAATCTCCCTGTAATTCCATCTCTTCAGAGATAAACACCTTTAATAGTTTATCAAGGCATAGTTCCACGTCCATACACATAGTTCTTCTTCATCTTAATGACTACTCAGCGTGCCTTTATATGAATGTGCCACAATTTAACATATCTGCCATTGATAGACATTTGGGTTTTGCCATTAAAAGCAAAAATAGCTCTATATCAAATAATAGTCCTATACTCATCCATGTGAACTGTACCTTAGAACCAGTTCTCAGTTGTGAATTTGTAGAATTGTTAATTCATTGTAAAGAGGTCGTACCAATTTACTGACTAATTAATGAGGTCTACTTGATTTGTAAAAGTTCTTGACACACCCCTTTTAATAAAGATAACTTTGGCCATGCTGCTAATAGATCTTTCACCATATGAGTTTTTCATTCTATGTAGTCAAATCTACCAATTTTTTGTTAAGGTTTTTAATTAGTATCATCCTAGGAAAGGTTTTTTTCACCCTGAGCTTTTCAAAAACTACCATGCTTTTTTTCCCCAGTGCTCAAATGGCTATATTTTTTACATTAAAAATGTAATCTAGGATTATAGTTATGTGATACTGCTTCTCTTCCACACATAAACATAGTAGACATTGTCAAATATTGCTTGTTTTTTTGCTGAGTAGTTATGAATTCACAATCTTAGTATAGTGCTTTAATTAGTGAACTAAAGCCTCTGCCATTCTTTTCTTTTATTCCCCTGGAACGTTTTTGTATGGAACACAATTTTTTTTTTAATCGGTGGCCAATTTTTAATTTCAAATGCCTCTTTTTCATATATCACGTTTATTCATAGATTCACTTGAATTCCATTGATCTTGTATTCATTTATTTGCAAACATTACAATTATTATATTTCACATCTACTGCAATATCAGGAAGAGCAAGGCCCTTATTTATTTTTTAAAATTTTTTTCTTTATTTAAATTTTCTTTATTTTTCTCAGTTATTCTAGATGATTTAGCAGTTTGTCAAATTCTAATAATAAACTCTCATTGGGATTTTGACTTAAGTTGCATTGAACATATACATTATTTGGGGGAGAAGTAAACTTTAAGCCATTATCTCTCTACTATCAAGGTCTTCTGTATGTAATTTCATAGTGTTTGGGTTTTGTTTTTAATTTAATGTGGGTCTTGTATACTGCTTCATTTTCCTGTATACTTTATAGTTTTATAGTAAGTGGGACTCTTACTATCTGATTAATTATTGCTGGCATATAGGAAATTTACTGTTTTTTCAATATCTTATTTTAAACATTTTTCAGTTGTGCTAGATTTTCTAGATTGCAAGCATATAATGTGCAAAATTCTTTTGCCTTATTCTTTCAGTTTTTATATCTTCTTTATTCTTACATATGCTAGACTCTTTGGAACAGTGTTGAGTGATAGTGGAGGCAGCGAGTGTTCCTTTTTTCTGTGCCTTGAGTGAGCTTACCTCTAGTGTTTTTATCATGTTGCATGTGCCGATGGGTTTCTGATAATTAAGTACATTTATGTTAAGGTGGTTCCTTTTAAAAGGCGTTGCATTTTAACTTTCTCCTAAAGCCATTGTTTTTTAAATACCATTTTAAATCCTTATTTCATTTTACCATTTTTTTCTTTTTAAAATCTTAAGATACCACAGTTTTTGTTTTTACCCCCCGTTATTAATATAATGAATTTCCTAATGTTAAGGCATTCTTCGTCCTGGAACAAACCTTTTTTTGATCATGTGATGTTACTTTTTTAATATACTGTGGTTTAATTTGCTTTAATTAGGACTTATCAGTTGTATTATAAATCAGATATACAAAGCAGTTAAATAGAAAACCATGTCACAACATAGTTTTGTTCTTTTTATTTTATTGAGTTCTTTCTAAATTCTTTTTCTCAGGTTAAAATACTTTCTTAAATTAATTTATTTAAGAATATATGGAGTAGATAGATCTTACACTTTTTGAGACTTTTCATGTCTAAAAACTTCTTCCACGTCCTGAGATCTTCTTGAAATGTAGTTTGAAAGGCTAAATCTAAGGTTGTAATCTCTCCTTTAAATTCTGGATACTTAGCATTTTGTCTTGGCATTTAGAGATTCAGATAAGAAGTCAAATGTTATGTCCTATTTTTTTCGCCTGTCATCAGTCTTCTTTTTCCTAGAAGTATGTATGATTCTGTCTTTACCATTAGAATTCAAAAGTTTCACCATTTCTGTGGCAGAGATGTCTTTAAAGAAACTTTCTGCCTGGCATTTGATGTGTCCCTTTTAAAAAAGTGTCAAGTTCATCCAGTTTAGGGAAATTTCCTTTTTCTTTTTTTTTAATTATTTATTATTATTATTTATGCCTACAGCACCTACCTGGTCTTCCTAGGTGGTCTCCTATCCAAGTACTAACCAGGCCCGACCCTGCTTAGCTTCCAAGATCAGACATCGGGCTTGTTCAGGGTGGCATGGCCATAGACCGTGGACCGTGGCTCCACTGGTGCGTGAACTCAGGACCTTCTGTGTGTAAAGCAGACGTGCTAACTGCTAAACTATGGAACCACGTCTGGGAATTTTTCTTGCATTGTTATTATCTCTATGAATTCCATTCCTTCCTTTTAGCATTTCCATTGTATAGTAATAGAATCTTATTTCCATCTTATATACCTTTTGTCTGGTATTGACATCTTTTTGCATTCTGGGAGATTCCTGATATTGATATTTTATAATTAATTTTTGTGTTTTGCATCAGTGTTTAGCCTTCTAGATTTGAAAATCGAAAAAAATTTCAAAATCTTTTGGAAGAAGAGGCTAGAAATTTGAGTTTTCTTAGTTTTTAAGCTTTCTCTTGTTCTCACTTTTTTTCATAGAGATGTGTTCATTTCTATCAATCTGTAGCCTTTAAAACTTGCTGAGAGCGTGAAGATTTTAAAAGAATTTCTATTTTTTTCCAACATTAATTCATAATCTTTGGGATGTTGATTTCAAGAATGAAATTGACCTCTAATCTTTTCTTTCCTTTCTTAAAAAATTTTCTATTGTAAAACTTTTTCGTTCTCATCTAATTGATACTTTTTTTTTTTTTTTTTTGCATGAGTCATTGTAATTATTTGAATATCCCTTAGAGACTTGATCCTATTAGAGGCAGTTTTTTAAATTGCCTTTGGTATACACAAGAATGCAGAATGTACTCAATGAATTTTGGGGCCAGGGGAATCCTTCTGATAGATTAGTGAAATGCTATTAAAGGTTAGCAATGCATATTTAATGTTATGTTGAAGCAATGTAATAAGCACCACAGAGAATACAAAAGAAATAAGGGCATGGCTATCCTTAACAAAAATTTTACATTGTAGATGGGACTGTACAGTATCACATAAGAATAAAATATGAACCAGAGTGTTCACGAGGATCTGTATAGGCAAGTACATGTTAATACTATTAAAATTTTGTTTTAACAATGTGATTTCATTAGGCGATTTGGAGAAGGAAGTTGAAAGAATTTACCTGAAATATTTTAATTCATTATCTCCTTATTCTAGGATTACATTTTAAAGACAATTTCTGTGGTCAAGTTGTCTTTTGAAAGATTAAATCTATTTCAAGAGAACTTGAAGCTGATCCTCGTCTTGAGGAAGCAGTGGCTTGTTTTCAAGAAGCCACTTGTGATCTGAGATCTACCCAGCATGCCTAATCAAGGAGAAGACTGCTATTTTTTTTTCTATTCTACATGTACCAAAGTAAGAATTGGATTCTCTAAATCAGTTCTTTTAATAATTTCCCTAATAAAATTAGATAAGATTTTACTAAGTAGTTGTTATGTTTTGTTTTTCTGAACTGTCTGTTACTTGTTTTTAGTTTTTTAGTAAAGGATAGCATTCCTGGGAGAATTCATTCATCATGTTTTTTTCCTCTTCATTTTATGTTCTTTGTGTTCTACAAAACTGAAAAGGTCCATAGCATTTAGTCATCATTCATTGGTCTCTCACTGAATTACAGTGAATTAATCTGTTCAGGGTGCCTTTGGAATTAGGAGCACTTTGGCCTGTGGCTTGCCAACTTTGATTTTATTTCTTTTGTGCTAAATGAATGGGTGGGTTGTAGTATACTTTAGAAACTGTCATGGGTTGAATTTAACTTCTTCAGATTTACTGCTGAATTCTAAAGCCATCTTCTAAATATGCTTTTGTAACTTTTTTTACTTTTTCTTTGTGAAAACTACCAGGTTTTCTTTATTCTACTGCAGCTCCATTTACATTTATCTGCTGTTTTCTGTTCCTTTATGGCATTCTATAAATGTACATGTTGTTAACAAAAACATCTTAAATCATTTTGCTGCTATGTTTAAAATTATAAGTTTTGAGTAGGGCTCTGATCTTACATAGCAATTCGCGCAACAGTTGTATTTTGTTTCGGATACCAGTGTATAAAGTATATAGTGAAGCATGGAATTATACTTCAATCCTAATCTAGTAACTTTCTTTCTAATTTTTTGTTAGCTGCTAAATCACACAAGTTAGGATTTATTAAACAGTGTTGAAGATGAACTGTAAAATATATTTTTAAAGAGATCTAATACTTCCACTTGTCTTTTTCAACCCCATCTCTCACTTTGTCATTCATGTTTGTCAGACCAGATGAAGGGTACTCTCAGGAAATAGAAAGTAGGAAATTATAAATTTATTGACCTCTGATAGTTCTTGTTATCCCACCTCAGTTGTCTTCTACCTTGCCTATCTTTCTATACTGTGTTTGTGTAGGCAACAGGAAACTATTATAATGAACATTTTACTTGGAATCTGTTTCAATACCACAGTTCTTTTCTGTATTATTCTCTTGGTTAATAGGGTGACAGCTGTCCATTCCGTCACTGTGAAGCTGCACTAGGAAATGAAACTGTTTGCACATTATGGCAAGAAGGGCGCTGTTTTCGACAAGTGTGCAGGTTTCGGCACATGGAGATCGATGTAAGTTTTGTATTATAAGAACTAGCCTGGTGTCATGATGGGCCAATAAAAAATATAGGGAGAAATGGTATTTTATATAACACATGAGTTAAAATTTTTAAAGTAGTCCAGTGAAATTTCAGTCATTATTATCATGCTTGCTTAATATCTAGATATTATGGAGGATGAATTGGTATTATTTTTCTGGAAGGCAGTTTGGTAAAAATGGTATATGTAAATTTGGGGAATATTTGCATTTCTGCGTATATTTTCAAACAGTCTCAAACTTAGAGAAAAGTTGCAGTTACAATATAAAACATTTTCTAAGCCATTTGGGTATAAATTACTGACATTCCACATCACCTCCAAATATTTTCATGAGTATTTCCTGCAAACAAGGACATTCTCCTACATAACTAAATAACAGCCTTTACAAATAGAAAATTAGCATCGATATATTACCTTCATTTAGTCCTTAGAGCCCATTCACGTTTTACTATTGTACCAGTAATGTCCTTTATTGCAAAAGGAACGAATCCAGAACCAAGTGTTGCATATAGTTTACATGACTCTTCAGTGACCTTCAGTCTAGAACAGTTACTCAGTCTTTCCTTGGCTTTCATTAGCATTGACACTTCTAGTAGTTATAGGTAGTTATTATTTTGTAGAATATCCCTCAATTGGGGTTAGTCTGAAATTTTCTCATTACTAAATTCAGATTGTGTATCTTTGGCAGAAATAGCACAAAGGCGATATTCTCATTGTATACTATTAGGTGGCATTCAATTTTAATTACCCCGTTACTGGTGATGTTAATTTTGATTGCTTCATTAAGGTGGTATCTACCAGATTACTTCACTATAAAGTTTTTCTTTTCGTAGTAAATATTTCGTGGAGAGATACTTTGAGACCCTGTAATTATCCTATTTTTCATAAAAATTTGTTTTTTAGTGATTTATTTGTATGTGTGCAAACTTACAGTTCCCTATTATTCCATGTGTTGTACTCCATTACTATCATTTTTTAATTCTCAAATAGACCCAGATTTGGCCAGTAAGAGCCCTTCAAAGTGGTTTTTGTGTCCTTTTGATGTTTCCATTCTTTGAACACCTCTTTGCTTTCTGACTTAAGATTTTCTAGGCTCATTCTGTACTTACCTCTTCTAGCCCTGGATCAGCCATTTCTCTAAGGAGCTCTGGGTTCTTTCAGTGAAAAATGGTATATAGAAATAAGATTTGAGTTGCTCCTAGAGTGTTGCTTCCAGGCCTGCAGTGGAAAGAACAAAGGAATATATAAGTGTGTGTGTGTGCGCGCGCGTGTTATTTATGTTGATGTATTGAAAATTATTTATGATGTATTTATGTATTTATCATTGATGTATTTATCATTATTTATGTTGATGTATTGAAAATTATGAGTTTAAATAGATGTTTCCAATTCACAAGACCTACAGGGTTTAGTCTAGGCTTCTCCTTTTCCATACTGTAATTCTCTTTTCCAAAACTGAGAAACTTGGTTCCCATTGTCCTCAGTATTACTTATCTGTTCAGTCCTCTAGTTATGTAAACCAATATTGTATCTCAGCCCCTTCCTTCCTCTCAGGATATGACATCACACACGAGGCTGCTCTTCCACAGGGACAATTTTCTCACCTTGTTTTGATGCCTAAAGCGTGTACTAGGCCTTCCCCCTGGCTCCACCGTGAGGATTCCTCCCTCCCTCTACTTGAACTCTAGCATCCTACCTGGATCCCTCTACCCGCCTTGGACGCCCTCTTCACAGTTAGGCTCTGCCACACTGTTGGGCAGCCCTCGCATGCGAGGTGCTTACTCTCCTCACCCTGTTCATTCTTTGTCTCTGTACCAGGTCCCCACTTGGGAAGACCCTGCCTTCCTCACTCTGCTTGGTCTTGGATGCTCGTTCTGGGCAGACCCTCCATGAGTATACCCTCCTCACCTTACATTGGGATCCCTTCTGCTCAGAAGTCTTGCTCGCCTTGCTCACCCTGCTCAGGTTCCATCACTGTGCCAGGCCATCTTATGCAAATGTCATACTAATCTCTCATGGGTTCTGACACCCTATGCCAGTCCCAGCTTGTCAAGTGGACATCTTTCTCATCTCAGTCAGGCTCTAAAACTCTGCTCTGGGTCACATACCCTTCCCTCTCCCAGCATGAATGCCTACCTCTCAGCATCACTAAGACTTTGGACTGAATTGTTTGAGGGGCTGGGGAAGGAAGAAAGAGACTAAATGTACAGTTCGTATGCCTTGGTTCCTAGAGCTACTCCAGTTTGGTTCCAGATTTATAGTTTTTACCTATATTATGCTGCCTGTCTTCCAGCTAGTAGAGAATCCACTAAAATTCAGCAAAAGCAATACTCTGACTTCTGAAAAATGTCATAACACTGCTTGCAGAGTATAAATTGGGACAACACCTAGGATCTCTAAGAACTAAGGTCTCTAAGAACATCTACATTTGAATATTCTCCAGAAGAACTCATGGGACTCGGCACATGGTTGTATTCCTGGCTAAGATTTATTAACACTGATATAATAAGGACATCTCAAAGGACACAGGCAGAATCTAGAGGAATCCATATGTGAGTTTCTTTATGATCTCTTGCATGAGAGGTCACACAGAGCAAGCACTTCCCCCAGCCATGAAAATGCAGCAACTTATGTGATGTTTCTGCCCAGGGAAGCCCATGAGAGACTCAGCATCCAAGGTTTTTATTGGAACAGATCACATAGGCACTCTCTACCTAATAACGTAAGCAAACTCCAGACTCCCGCAAGGCTGGCAGGTGTTCAGCATAAGCCATATTGTTTGCATAAACAATCTAGGCACATTCTGAGTGCCAAGTTCCTACATCCCAGCCAAGGGCCAACCTTGCAAAGAGCCTGTCTAAGAATAGCAGTTTTATGGCTGCTCTCTTAATTCTTTTTTGCACAGAGGCTTATTTGGATGCATCATATGAAACTACTGTCATACCTGAGTCTCAACTATACTCGTGCAAAATGAGCTGTATGTAGAATTACTCTTTGTAGCATAATTTGTAATAATAAAATGTATGAAACAACCTAACCCTTCATTTTAAATAAGTTTTATTACATTCATGCAATGGCATGGTGGGCAGTTGTTAACAAAAAATTTTTAAAGGGAAACTAAAATTGTTATGGAAAGATCAGGGCATAGTGAAAAAGTAAAGGGCGCAGAATAAGGTATATAATATGCTACCATTTATTTAAGAGAGAAAAGATTTATTATTTTTTACTTGCATTTGCATTTTAAAAATCTCTGGAAGTATAAAAGAGAAACTTAACAATAGTAACTACGGAGGTGGGGACAGAAATGGGAAAGAGCCTTTTTACTGTAAGTCCCTTCTGTATGCAGTTAATTTTCATTATTCTTGGGTTCCATATTTGCAAATCTGCCTACTTGTTAAAATTTATTTATAACCCCCACATCAATACTCACTTTCATGGTTGTTCACAGACATGTGAAGAGCACCAAGAAATATGAGTCTCCTGAATCACCTGATGTATACACTCCCAGCTGAAATCAAACAAGGCAATATTCTACCTTCTTTTCGTGGCCTGTTCAGTGCCCCCCCCCCCCCATTTTTTTTAATTGTATTTTCGTGCTTTTTTTATTGTTGATTTTCCTGTTTGAAATGGCCCCCTAGGGTAGTGCTGCAGTGTTGTATACTGTTCCTAAGCACAAGAAAGAAAATACATGTAATAGATAAAAAGCTTCATTCAGGCGTGAGTTATAGTGCCATTGGCCTTGAGTTTAATGTTAATAAATCAACGATATGTATTATATAAGGTGTCTTTAATTATAAACATACATAAAACAAGGTTATTGATCAATCGATAGAAATGGTGTGACCAGAAACTCCCAGGAACCTACTAACTCTGTATACCTTTCGACCATGTGCTATATTTTAAAGAAATAAAAACTTAAAGAAATAGTCATGTGTTGCTAAATGAAAAAAGTACAGAATTATATGGAATACCTTTTAAGTGTGCATCTATACATTTACAGCTTTTTAAGTAAAATGATTCTTTACCAAAAAAAGTGATTTTCTTTTGATAATAGCATCCTAGGCATTTGTTTCCCAAGTAGTCTTCTTGCATGCATATTAGTTTTCATTTAGAAACAAAATCCACTAAATGCTTTAAACAGATCAAGTAAATGTCATGTGACTCTTGTATGTGGAGGATATTATTTTAGAAGTTACCCAGTAATTTGAAAATTACTTCCTGGAAAGGAGTGAAAACTTAACCAAAGACTGACTTAGGAGCAGGGAGGATTGGCATTAAGGTTCTACCTTGAGGAACAAGGAATTGAGTAATTGTTGTTATTCTTATCTAAAAAACAATGGTAGCTATTATACCTACCTTTTGGGTGTGACAGGGAACTAATAAATTCCATCCAGTTCTTTGAAAGGTAAAAGTATTTGCTGTACTTTTTTTTTAAAAAAGTAATCATACATGTAGCAATAAACTCAAGACATAGATTTTTAAAATAGTTTTTGCCAAATTGCATTTCAAAGCTGATGAACTGCTTTACGTTTCCATTATCAGTATTCATGATCCTCCCACATCCCTACCAACCGAGTATTATCAAATTATCAGTCTCAGTATAGTAGACTGATCTTTGTCCCATTTTTTACATTTAAGAATCTCTTTGTAATGGTCATTGTTTCTCTGTTTCTCTCCTCCACATTAAATTTTCTGAAATAATGCTGCTGTTCTTTCTTGGAATTTTACACCTTTGGCTGCTTATTAGGATGAGAGAGCCAACATAATGCAGGTTATTAATCCAAGGTTAGTTACTTTTCAGAAGTGTTTATCAGGTCCTTCCCCCCCCCACACCCCCCCCATTGAACTACTTGTTAAAGTATATGTAGAAATGTGCACAAATCATAATCTTACAGCTTGAACAGTTTTCACAAAAATGAATAATACACTTGACCAGCACCTAGGTCAAGAAATAGAACTTTTCCTCCTTCCCTTCATTGTTACTAATGAAGCCCCCAGAACTAATCACCATCCTGATCCCGACTACTATAGAGGTTTTGCTGTTTTGATCTTTATATAAATGGAAATCACACAATATGTGCTCTTTCATGTCTGGCTTCTTTCACTCTGCATCTGTGTTAAGTCCAGAATCATATTCTATTTTATGAAGTTATTACAATGTATTTATCCATTCTAGCATTGATGTACATTTGGGTTTACGTTTTGGAGCTATTATAAGTAGTATTGTTTTGAACATTGTTTATACGCATCTAATGTATATATATATTAAAACTAATATATATAATTGTTGGACATATATCCTTGATTTGGCAATTTATTATAGATATGCAAGTATTTTTTTCATTCCCCTTCATAAAAGTGAAGTAGCTAGGGAAGGAAAATACCATCCTTAGTGTGTTACATGTATCTTACCTTGGGAAGTCACAAATGGGAAAATGTTTTCTCAAAGCCTTGAACTCTCAGCTTCAGATAATAATTGTAGTCTATTTAATCCTTTTTATGTGCTAGGTGCTCCATGTACATTATTTTATTTAATCCTTATAAGAAAGCAATAGCCACTATTCCCATTTTATAGCTGAGGAAAGTGAGGCATAGAGGTGTTAAGTCGTTTGTCCAGCATTACTTGGCCCATAAGTAGCATAGTAGAGATTCAGACCCTCTTATCTTTGATTCCATAACCTTAACTACTGTAGATAGTATCCTGCATCTCTAAATTAAGTGTAGATATTCAGAGTTCCGGGATCAGGGCAAAGAGGAAAAAAACAGTAAATAAACCACTTCCCTGCTCCCCTCATCTCTCCATCATGTTTAGGGTATTTGACTTAGCAACGCTCTTTTTTTTGCTCTTCCTCCTGCTTAAAATCATCTCATGTTTCAGATTTTTGAATCCCATATATGAACTTTGTGCGAAAAACACCTCATTTTTTATTTGAAAATGATGTATTATTCCCTCTTACAGAAAAAACGCAGTGAGATTCCTTGTTACTGGGAAAATCAACCAATGGGATGTCAAAAACTAAACTGCGCTTTCCATCACAACAGAGGACGTTATGTTGACGGCCTTTTCCTCCCTCCAAGCAAAAGTGAGATCTGTTTTTAATTTTAAAGGAATAATTACTATGTAATGAACACTTGTGCACATTGTACAGAGTACTTTATATATGTTGCCTTCTTTTACTCTTGTAAGGGAGCAGTATTCCACTTCATAGATAGAAGAACTGCACTTTATTAAAGTTAAATGACTTGTACACAGTCATAAACTGATAAGTAGCAGAGTCACAATCAAAACTGTCATCGAAAGCCATGCTGCCTCACAAGTGTTTCTTGGTATGACAGTTTAGATTACTGTAGCTTCATTCCCATTTTCATATCAGATCCATAGAGGGTTTTGAAAGAAACTTGATTCTCCGGGCCAGGGGTTGGCAAATCTGTTCTCCCACCTGTTCTGTGAATCAAAGTTTTATTGGAATGAAGCCATGCCCATTTGTTTTCAGATTTTCTATAGCCAAATTTTGTGCTACTGCTGCAGAATTGAGTACTTGAGACAGAGATCTACAAAGCCTATATTTACTGTCCAGCTTTTTACAGAAAAAGTTTGCTAACCCTACTCTAGGCTGTAATCTGAAATAAAACTTAAACTCTACCAAAAGCTAGTATTTATTTCCGAAGTCCCTTTTAAAGTAATTTCCAAGTGGAATGATAAGCCATTTAAAAGCCACATCTGCTCTATGATTAAAATCTGATGGCTGCATATTTTTATCTTCATTTAAGGGGAGGAAAATTAGGTTCACTCCTTTCTGCTTTGGCTCAAAAGTATTACCTGCTATCTCTTTAAAGGTACTTCTTGCTAAGCAAAAAGCCTAGAATTCCAATATTAAAATTACATCTCTAGAATTTACAGTCACTATGCACTTAGCTTCCTGTTTATGTTTTGAGTGTCCATCTTGAGTGTATTTGCCTACAGTGAAGAATTATTAACTAAAAGCCATATTTTCTCTCCCTGGAAATTTAGAATCTGATTGGGAAAATGGGAAATTACATAAAAAGACATAAATAGTGGCAAGGAAAATGCACCAAACTCATCATGGGTGGTTGGGGATTTTTGATGAATTGGGATAATATATTCTATTTTTAATTTATGACTAATTTTGTATGTCTAGCTGTGCTGCCCACTGTTCCTGAGTCACCAGAAGAGGAAGTGAAGGCTTGCCAGCTCACAGTTCAGCAGAGCAAATTATCTGTCCAGTCTAATCCCTCCCCTCAGCTGCGAAGTGTGATGAAAGTAGAAAGTTCAGAAAATGTTCCCAGCCCCACACATCCACCAGTTGTAATCAATGCTGCAGATGATGATGAAGATGATGATGGTAATTGAGCTCTTTAAGGCAAATATGTGATCAAGTCACTTAGTGAATTAGACAGAATCAGGATTAAAGGCTCTAGGCTTGTTTTTAATCATAAACTTGCCTTTAAATGTTGATAATATAGATCAGTTTTCTGAGGAAGGTGATGAAACCAAAACACCTACTCTGCAACCAACTCCTGAAGTTCATAATGGATTACGAGGAGCTTCTGCCCGGAAAGCTGGGATCAGTTTAAAACAAGGTAAGAAGATGCTATGTTGATGCTGGTTCCCACTTACAAATTTTATAGCAGTATGAAATGTGTCCAGACTATATTAAAGACCTTTGAAATATAGTTCACAGTCACCACCACCTCCCTCCTCCCTGCCCCCATTACACACGTGTACACACACCTCCTTATTCATTTAGAAAACATCTGAATGCCTGCTATTTACAGATAAAACGCACAGTTCCTCCTTTTATTTCTATGTGCATTTCTCAGGTGAATGTTTGAATTTTGGAATAAAAACCCTTGAGGAAATTAAGTCAAAGAAAATGAAGGAAAAATCCAAGAAGCAAGGAGGTAAGTCATCAGTTTTGACACATCGTTAAATGTTCCTAGAGAATAACTAGGACATTTCTGATAATAAGGACCCTTGCAACAACCACAATGACTGACTTCTGTGGCTGATTTGAAGAAAAAAACACAGACTTACTTAAATCATGGTTGCTTTTTTTTCATTGCAGCTATGTTTCAGTCCCTAACTATTCAAAGCCACGCATTGCAATTAAAAAAACCCAGAAAAACATTTATCTTGCAAAATATAACTCTAAAGAACAACCTATAAATCATATTAAAAGAGGAAAATCTTTATTTTGTAGTAGGTGAATTTTTCTCAAGAGCTGCTAGGATTTCTTCGAGCTTGCCTTAACCTGGTTATTTTATATATTTCCAACTCTAAAAATTATGGTTTGAAAGGTAATATTTAGAGAGAATCAACTGGTTGGTTTTCAGTACCCTCTTGGTAAAGCTTGTTCTATAGGAACCGTGGAGATGTGCTTTTTGCAGATAATTGAATATAGATGAAAAAGGTTGAATTGACAGACTTTATAGCCGATGTGCTTCTGGGGTTAACTTTAGAATGCTAGCCTTGGTAAATAAAAGTGGATTGAGTACCTTTTACTCAAAACAGTTTTATGTTTTATTTATACATCATGCCCAAGGAAGATAAGAGATAAGGATTATCACTCCTCCCACCACCATCCCATGTCACTGTAGGCAAACAAGAACAGAGAGACTGATTGGCTTGTAATCTTATGGTCTGTGTTGGACTTATATGGTCACAAGTCAAAATTTCTTGACTTGGTGATAGCTTTATTTTCCATAATTATTTGCTCTCTTTTGATTTGCTTTATTTAGAAAGTTCTTCGGGAGTTTCCAGTCTTTTACTCCAACCTCAGCCCATTCCAGGTCTTGAAAAAGAGAATGTCCGGACTGTGGTGAGGACAGTGACTCTGTCCAACAAACAAGGTGAGGTATAGGTAGGTCTTAAGAGTTGTCAAGCTACTTTTAAAAAACTAGGAGTGGAAAATCCTAGTGTGTATTTTACCTTTAATGGCTATGCAGAAAGAGTTCAGTATGTTGATCAAATAGAAGGATGAAAAGTTAGTATATTTCACTCTACTATTTAAAAAGTTGAAATTCTTACTCATCTGGTACTCACATTAATGTATCTTTAATTTTTACATTTACTGTTTATTTGTATCCACTCAACAAATTTGTTGACTGTCCATTGTGGATAAAAAACTATAATAAACCCTTTAAGTTATAGAAATATTTCCCTTAATAGCTGTAAATCAAATAAGGAATATAACACAAGTAATTATAATATGCAGATACCTTTAAATGTTTGTGCCCTTCAGTCAACAGAGAGTCAGAGGGAAGAGCTCACTTCTTCTGAAGTGATCAACGAAGGTTATATAGGAGAGTTAGCTAGCAATGGAGTATGAGGTTTTTTTTATTTTTTATAATTTTATTTAATATATTGAAGTGCACAAGCAAAAGTATAGGTTAAGTTTCTAACCAATTGATTAGAATGCAATTTGTATACTTGGTTACTGTTAATAATTAGGACTGTGCTGTTGCTTCCCTTTGGGCTGAACATTGGCTCTTTAAGAGGTTAAATCTTTGTTTTTTTTCTTTTTTTTAACGTGATAGTCTTCCTTAAGACCGAGATCTGATTGTCAAGAGACTGTGGGGACTCATGTTAATATCAGCGCATACTTTGTACCCATAAGTAATTACTGAATAAAGAGAAATCAGCTAATGGTAGAGAAATTCTATTTTTGCCATTTTAGGAGAAGAACCCTTGGTAAGATTGAGTCTAACCGAGAGACTGGGGAAACGAAAATTTTCAGTAGGTAAGTTTTGTGCATATCCTTTGTTTTCTGCTTGTTTGTGTATTAACATACCTCCTCTGAAATTCTCTTTATACAAATGCCCTGTCAATATTGATTTATAGTCCCCGTGTTCTTGGCTGAAAGCTCTTAATAAAATTTCCTGGTTTTTTTACATGTGTATTATACCTTTTATTGAAGTCATAAAAATGCATAGTGTTAAAAGTTAACTTGATTATGGTCAACTCTTTAGAAGGTACTAAGTTTAAAAAACAGTAAAAAATATCTGTATGGACAAATTGAAATTTGAGTTTGTAGAGGGAAGTAAGTGTCCAGTTAATATAAATTCAGTCCCTGGATTAGTGCTAGTTTATATTTTGAGAAGTATTTTACCATATTACTGAATTGCTGTGTGTCTGTTTCAGAAGAATTATTTTGAAAATTTCTGATTCCAGCAGTTCCTTTATACTCTTTAAAATGTGTTTGCAAATCTTATTTGTGAAATCTTATTTGTTTTGTATTTTCTTCAACACCATTCTCACTGACAGAAATTTTAGGTAAAAAAATACAGAAAGAAACTATTTTTATATCAGCAGGACATGTAAACTTTATGATTTTTGGTTTCTTTTTTAAATTATAAGTGAGAGGAGAGAGAAAATGTACTCTGTAGCATCTTTTAAGTTTTTAATGGGACTCTGCAAAGTTTTTAATGGGACTCTGACTATATTTTTAGTCATACAATCCAAAAACACAGTTTTTGACAACTTGTGACATTTAAACAGCTCGCATTGAACAGTGTAATGTTATAAACCAGGAATCAGGAAACTTGGTTCAGGTCTTGGCTCCATCGTTGATTGGATGGAGATACAGAATCATTAATTGGCGGAGATACAGAATCGTTAATTGGCTAAGATACTGAATCTTTCATAACTTTATATTTCTTATCTGGAATTGAAGAGAGAAGCTATTTGGCCTTCAGAGACTTTGTGTCACAGAAAAATTCTTAATTTTGTGATTCTTTTGCTGTCTTCCCAAACATTCTTGGTACATTAAACCATAAATTTACCTAGAATTCAGCAGTTAGCCAGTTAAGATCTTTCTGTACATGAAGATTTTTTTTTTCCTATATATTCCTAATTATGAATTTTAGCCTTAACCAGGACTTATAATTTGAAGTTTTGGTCAGTTATTTGGTAAGTGTTAATTTGTGCATTCTAATTTTTTGTCCCTTTCTTTACCTCTTCTTTTTTTATGACATTTTTATTCCTGCTCTAAAATTGAGTTGTAAAGAAGCCAGTGAATGAACACACCATATAAATGCAGAAAAGTTGCAAAAGTATTACTACATTGTCTGTTTTTGCTTGTATTTCTTGACCTTGCGGAAGGTTGACTTGAGCTCTTAAACTGAGTTCCTTCTGTAGGTGGTGAAGGCGATCCTCCATTAAAGCGTAGCCTTGCACAGAGGCTAGGAAAGAAAGTTGATGCTTCAGAAACTGATAAAACACCAAAGAAAGGTACCTCTCTTATAATATACATGGGTGTAGTCCTGACACTGTCTCTTGTAACATGTCTGGTTTGTGATTTTTTTGTTTGGGTAAATCAAATCATTTCTGGTATTCATTTCATTATTCAGTAAACATTTGAGTGCTTACTGTGCTAGATTCTAGGTAGAACACCATTGGATAAAATAAACACCATCACAGTTCTCAGGAGCTTATGATACAATGGCAGGTAGGAATACTTGTCTGTATTGTGATAAATTATGTGACAGGAAAAGTACACAGTGTTATGAGATCACAGAATTTGAAGCCAATTTCCCTTTCTCCTTGCCCGCCAATTATATTGAAGCCTAATAACTAAAGTGCATATTTCCAATAGACTTAGGAGAAAAAAACCTTTTGATGTCAGTAAGATTTTAGAAGGTTGTACGGTAACAAAATTATTTTACTAAATTTAGTAGTTTCTGCTTTTCAGATATAAAAAGATTTTTTTTGAAGGCTCTCTTGAGTGCTCTAGGGCAGCAGTCCCCAACCTTTTTAGCACCAGAGGCTAGTGCTGCTATGAGAATCTAGTGCCTCATGATGTGAGGTGGAGCTGAGGCAATGATGCTAGTGCTGGGGAGCAGCTGCAACTATAGATGAAGCTTTGCTCACCACTCTCCTCATACTGGTGCTAGTCTGCATCCCGGGGATTAGGGACCCCTAGAGATGCTCTAGGGAATCCATGATTCGCATAGATCTGTACTGTAGAAAGAAGAATTTAAGACCTGAGGACATTTTTAAAAAGCATTTGCATTTGAAGACAAGTATAAGCCTAATTTGTGACCTTTGTAAAAGAGTTTTGACCTATAAAATGTCTCTGTTCAACTTTTGGTTTAATTTCTTTTTCTTTTTTTTTACAGCTCAGGTTTCCAAGTCTCTAAAGGAACGATTAGGCCTGTCAGCTGGTCCAAACAATGAGGAAGCAGCAGGTAGGTAAACCTAAGACCAGCTTCTATTTTTTCCCTTGCTATAGAATCTTTACTTTTTATCCTGTTTACCTGTTGAGTTAGGTTAGGGCTTATGTGTTGTCTTTGTTTGTTTGTTTGTTTTGTTTGTTTTTGTGTGTTTTTTGTGGATTTGTTGTTTTTTTTTTAAGTAATTAATGACTGGTATGGATTCTCTTTTTGTACTTAGATATGGTATAATGAGTGTTCATCATAGGAAATTAGAAACAACCTAAATATCCAACAAAAAGGAATTAGGTTAAATTAAGGTAGTTATGAACTAAAATAATTGCTGTCATGAAAAGTCATGTTCTGAACAGTAATGAAGGAAGGCTGCAAAAGAAACACACCACTTTTGACCTTTTTGCCTTAGGGTAAAATAAGAGGATTTTTTGGATGAAATTTATTTTCTTATAATAGAAACTTAATTTTCAGGAAGAAGTCTTTATGTATCAGAGGATTCCTATTTTATAAAGATAAAAATACATCCTTAGAAAAAACACTGCAAAGAAATATTCCAAAATATTAACATTGGTTTTATCTTGATATTGAGGTTTTAAGTAATTAAAATTTTCTTCTTCATATTTTTTCTATACTCTAATTTTTAAACTTTTTAAATTACTGGGTAAAATACGTAAGTGTTTCTATGTATACAATTTAAAGAATACTAAAGTGAACATCCATATACTTAACCATTTAGCTTTTTTATACATTCGCAGGATTTAGTTTAATGCTTTTTAAATTTTTTATCTGTGTTTACAAATGGTGTTAGCTTGTGCTTTTCCTTTTTCATTTTATCCTTTTCTGATTTGGTTCTTAAGATTTTAACAGCATCATAAAAGGAATCTGACATCAAATATTATTACTCTTTTCTAAATAACTTTTTTGTTTTCTCCTTATGGAATTTTTATTAGATGTTGGAGTTTTTGGACACATGTTCCACGTGTCTTTTAACTTTGTCTTCATACTTTCCATCCCTGAGGATTTTTTGCCTCATCGTTTAGGATCTTTGCTTGGCTTGATTTTCTAGATTAGCAATTAACCAACTCAGCTTTTTCTGCAAAAGGTCAAATAGTAAATATTTAGTCTTTGCAGTCCACAGTTTCCATCACATCTACTCAACTCTGCCATTATAGTGTGAAAGCAGCCATATGTAATATGTAAATGAATGAGTGGATGTATTTCAATAAAGCTCTAATTATAAAATTTAGATCATGGCCAGATTTGGCCTATGGACTTTAGTTTGCCATTGTTCTAGATGACTGATTTTCGACCAGCCTTGTCTTTTATTTACTATTTAGTCTTTCAGTTGGATTTATTTTGGCACCTGTGTTTTTAATTTCCAAGAATTTTTTTAGGAGGGTTCTTTGAGTTCTTTTTCACAGCCTGTTTTCAGGCTCCTCTGGGCTTTTGAATTTGAATATTTTTTTTAAATATGTGTATGTATTGTTTTATGTCTTTCATCACTTCTCTTTGTTTATTTTGGTTCATTTTTAATGTTGTTGCTCTTCCATAATTCTAAGTACCTGGCCTAGCTTTCCTCTGTGATTCTAAGTAGTCCTCTGTCCTAGCTGGCAGACCTGGCTTAAAATGTTTACATAAATGAGGAGGGTACACAAAAAGCCAGCTGTGTGGGTTGCAGGCTGGAAGTCTGGGGGCCCATACAATTACTTTATTTACTTTCAAAGTACAGCTGACTTTCTTTTTTTAACTTTGCTTTTTACTTTCTACCCCACTTCTCCTCTTTCTGCTTGGCCTTTATGAAAGTCTGAAATATCTCATGCTCTACTTCTCTCTAGCCCCAGCATCCTCACAGCGTGCTCCCTTTCCCAGCAGATTCTCCTCTTTCTATGGAGCCATTCTTGGGAGAAGGTCATGACTGTCCCAACTGATGTGTAGGAGTCTTTAGGTCTTCCTTAAATTTTTACCCACTATTGCTTTTTATAGCAGTTTGGCAGTTTTATTTGACTCTGTTGGGAAGAACATTTCAACTCCTACAGTTTATTCCTTATCTGTTTTTCCATAAATTCAGATATCTGCTTTCTTTCTCAGAAATCGCTCAGGATTTATGCTCTGCCAGTGGCATCATTGTTTTCCATTGCTATTGTGGATTTATTCTACTTTTAATGTCTTTATCATTTTGATGAAATTTTTGTGTAGGGTAGGGAACCAGGGTCTCCATGTCACCATTCATGTAATACTCTCTTGAAGTGGTAATTTTGAGAGCATTCTAGCATCTTGAAATGAAAAATTTTTTAATTTGAAAGCCTAAGGAAATGAATAAGTGAGTGCTTCTTCTTATTTACCAGGTACTGTACTAAAATATTACATATAAGTAAATGTAGTCATTGTTCTCTTGAAGTTTCTAATGTGATTGGGAATACAGTCAACTATGGTGCTATATGATCAGTGCTGTGATCAGAGAAGCAAACTAGATTTGGAAAGTGTCAGATTTAAGATGAACTCTGTTAAAACTAACTAGGAAGCAAGAGAAATGAGACGAGTAAGGACCACCCCATATAGAAACAACATATTCAAGGGTTTAGAAAGTGAGACAGAACATGTGTTTAAGGTTATAAAAGGATATTGCTTTTGATCTTTCATTAAAAGCTGTTATTCATTGATTAAATATATATCATCTCCAAATTCTTGTTTTTTTCCACATCATTTCTTTTGCTCTAGTAATGAGGACATGCATATCTGTCACGTGTGAAATTTGTCCTTTAAACAGATGTAAAATGATTAATGTATCATTAAAAATAGCTCTTCAGTGGCATGCCAGTCTCTGGGGTTTTCCCATTTTTTTTCTGTCTTATCACCTGCTTTACCTCCTTTTCATCCTTTACATATCACTTAAATATTACTTTCTCTGAAAAGCTTTTCTTAACCAATTCCTAGACAAAGATTAGTGTTCTTACTACATGCACCTTTATCAAAGCTGTTATTATTACCATATTTTGTTGTTCCTTAATTATTTGTCTGTTAGACTATTATAAACTACATGTGGGCTGAAATTGTATTTTACTTATTATTACATTTCTAGCACAGTGTCAGTGCATGTTATATACCTACGAATGAATGGAAAAATTAACTTGTTGCTGTTTTTATTGGTAAGATTTATAATGACAGGTTTTTCCAGCTAGCAAATGGCTTTCAAGTTCCTCAGATAAATTTCTGAGGAAGTTGAAAAATCAGTAATTTTTTCTCCCTAAGAGTTTTTCTTGAGGGCCACTACCTGAAACATGGAATATTCTAAAATTGAGGTAGAAACTAATGTACTTTTGATCATTTTAATTGCCTACCTAAATGATACCACTCTACTGTACTCTGCCTTATTCAAGAATAGAGAGACCATAATTCATTGAGCGATGAACTCTAAGTTCAGTGACATATTTTTCCCCCATGAAAACAGAGAGAATTACTAAAGTTGGTGAGATCCACGTGAAGACTTTAGAAGAAATTCTTCTTGAAAGAGCCAGTCAAAAACGTGGAGAATTACAAACCAAACTCAAGGCAGAAGGACCTTCAAAAGTTGATGATTCTACTTTAGGAACCAGAAGCTCCTCCACAATCCGAATCAAAACCTTCTCTGAGGTCCTGGCTGAAAAGAAACATCGGCAGCAGGAAGCAGAGAGACAGAAAAGCAAAAAAGATTTAACCTGCATCAAGTTAAAGACTGATAATGAAATTAAAAAAACAGTGGTTTTGCCACCCATAGTTGTCAGCAAAGGACAATCAGAGGAGCCTGCGGGTAGAACAAAGTCTATGCAGGAGGTGCATATCAAGACGCTGGAGGAAATTAAACTAGAGAAGGCACTGAGGGTGCAGCAGAGCTCTGAGAGCAGCAGCAGCTCCCAGCCCCAGCCTGATGCCACCCCAGCGGCAAGGCGGCTTCTCCGAATCACCAAAAAATCAGGTAACAAAAGAGCTCCCTCTGTAGTAACACTTCCTCAAATAATATTTCAAAAGGCAAGGTGTTCCACAGGATTATTACAGGAATTCTGTGAGAATTTTTCTTTACTCACATAACTTTTGAAAAGTCACTGGATTAAATAAAGATAAGCTGTTTCTGTACTATGTAGACCTTTGATATTTTAATGTGCACTTTGAAACTTGGATTACCGATAGGCTTTATAATTATTTGTCCTATCTTAGCATTACTTTCATTAAGAAAAGTTTTGTTTAACTTTATCTGTCATGAAGTTGCAGCGTAAATGAAATATGTGTTCAATGTGAATGTAGGTATAAAAGAAGAGAAGAAACTTCAAGAAGGCAGTGAAGTTGCTTCTCAGAGCAGTGTTACCAGAACAGAAGGTAAAGAGGTGAGTTTATTTAAAATCATTTTATAGTTGTCCATACAAGTGAAGACTGGATGAATGGTAAAATGTGCTTTTAGTTTTAGTTTGTAATAAATTTGTATTTAACATTTCACTGACATATTAGGTAAATAGCCTTTCACTATGCTTATAATTTTCTGTTGGGAAAAAATTGTGGGGTGGTGGGTGTTCTGTATATATACATCATCAGGGTTCTCTGCCCTTTTAAAGTGTTTAATTGACTGTTATCATGTTTTCAACTAAGTTTTTTTTCCTGCCATTGAGAGTAATATCAATTCATTCTACAAATTTTGGGGTTTTATTATTTAAAAGAATGAGAAACCCTATAATTTCACAACCTACATGTAACCAACACTAGTTATTTTCATGGATTTCCTTCAAGTCTTTTGTTTATATCCATATATATGTAAACTCGTTTAATGATTTGACTCATGTTTAGAACATAATTGAGAACTTTACAATGTATCATTTTGCAGCCTGCTTTAAGTTTATCAATTAATATTCATAACATTACACAAGTGTCATCTGGATATTTAGGTTTTGTTTTACACAATAAGATAACGAACATCTTGGTATAAAAATCTTCGTGCAAGTGCCTGATTATTTAGAAATCATTTGTATTAGACTTAGGGTCATTGTCTAGCCTATGGAATCTGGTTTTTATTGTTCCACACATCTCAATTCTTTTATAAGCTTGTTTTTTATTTAATATCAAAGAGCAAAAGCTCTTGTGTTCTGGATCACGTGACACTGCTTGACTTAGCTGTTAGCCTTGTAACCTATAAATTGTAATTATATAGGTTGTTAGAGGTACTAGATTTTAATTCTGTCATTTAAATTTATGCATAGGTTTCGGCTGAGACAACAGGAGTTGGCATCACTAAAGTTCAAGTCAAGAGATGTGAGACCACGAGAGAAAAGCACATACAGAAACAGCCAGAGAGGGGAACCTCTCAGAAGGAAACATCAGTTTTGACACCCCTCTGGGGAGATGTAGACTCTTACAGTACCCAGATAGCAGAGAAGCCAGTGCTCACTACTGTGCCAGGCTTCACACGACACCTGACAAAGCGGCTTCCTACAAAGTCATCCCAGAAGGCAGAATTAGAAACCTCAGGGATTGGGGACTCAATATTGAATGTGAAATGTGCGGCACAGACCTTGGAAAAAAAGGGTAAAGGTCAGTGTTTTTTCTAGTGTATCTTACTTTAGGATTTCAAAGTTACCAAGTTTCAGTAATTCCCTGGCAACAATTGGGTCATATTTCATTGGCCTTGTATTCTGGTCACACAGGTGGATAGTAACAGTTCTTACAATTCTATTTAAAAGACAAAATTAGAAGAATTTATTTATCAGAATTTAAAATTGCTGTTTAAAAATCTTTATCTAAAACTTTCTATGGTGCATATTTCCTGTGGTTTTGAAGAAGAAAAACAAGGAACAGAATAGCAGTAGTAAATTCAAGAGCCACTGAAAGGAATCAAGTATATATACATTATGGCTATGTGTAGTACAGATTGCTTGTGGATCATTTTCAGTCTGGATTTTTTTGTTGTTTTTAATTATTTGTGATATATCTAGTACTGTGAAGGAATTTTTATACTCTGAGTTATTCTCCATGTAAAAGGGATTTTTCTAACTATTAATCAAATATTTTCTGTCCCTTGTAGCTAAACCCAAAGTGAATGTGAAGCCATCTGTGGTTAAAGTTGTCTCATCGCCCAAATTGGCCCCCAAACGCAAGGCAGTGGAGGTTCACCCTGCTGTCATTGCAGCTGTGAAGCCACTCAGCTCCAGCAGTGTCCTGCAGGAAAGCCCAGCCAAAAAAGCAGCTGTGGTGAGAAGCAGACCCAATTCAGTGATGCTTTAGTCTGTGTGGTAGGAAAGCAGGGAAGATTAACTCTCTGTTAACTCTCTGCTTGTGTTCATGTGTGATGCTTCCTGCCATTTTGTAAGTGTTTTAGTTGTTCAGGTTGTTACTGTATTTTATACTTTTAGTTCGACATTTGTGGAGTGGCAGGATGGGATTTTTAAAAGCTAATGTTTGGGTGGTTAAAATATTTTTGCTTATTTGTATACTCACCTTTGGATTATTTATGCTCGGATTCCAGGCTTTAAGAATGATAGTTATGATTTTAAATAGGTGGCAAAAGAAAGTGAATATGCTCAAATTAAAAAACCTAACTCTCCTACTAAATTACTCTTTTGTAGGCTGTCATCCCACTCGTCTCTGAGGACAGATCAGTCACTGTGCCGGAGACGGAGAAACCTAGAGACAGGTAATACCTTGCAGTTCTTTCAAATCAGACTTTAGGCCACTACTATTATTTATACTCTCTAAAGAGTAACACTGCTAAATAGTTTTAAACATTTACAATTTAGCCGCATCTAAATAAATCTGCTAAACTTCAAATTAATTGTAAACCATGATGCTTAAGGCTTCTGTTCTCCTTGGGTGCCCTTGTTTATGTTTTACCTGTGTTATTTTTAAAATGTTTTAAACACCTATCTGAATTCTACTTTAAAAGGACAAAAATGCTTTGTCCTAAATTCCCAAAACAGTTCCTTATGTGTGTTCTCAGAAACAACTCATGGCTAACTCTTTGTGTTCCTGAGACTAGGTGGTCCAGCCACCCATTGACAAAAGTCAGTTTTCTAATTATCTTTTGGGATTTTTTTACCTTACAGTCTTGTGCTGCCTTCAACCCAGTCACCTTCAGATACCTCCCCACCAGAAGTATCTGGCCCTTCCTCATCCCAGATGGCCACAAAAACTCGCCGACTCAGCTCTGCTTCAACAGGAAAGCCCCCGCTCTCTGTGGAGGATGATTTTGAGAAACTAATATGGGAGATTTCAGGAGGCAAATTAGAAGCTGAGATTGACCTGGATCCTGGGAAGGATGAAGATGACCTTCTGCTTGAGCTATCAGAAATGATTGATAGCTGAAGGTGGTAGTAGAACATTTAAAACAAACAAAAACAAACAAACAAAAACTTGCCAAAACCTGGACTTTTATCTATTATAACATTTACCCAAGATGGTCATTTCTTTAGTCTAGAATTCGCCCCAAATCAGAAGTATACCTCTGAATTATCTCTATGTGTCCTGGATTCCTTGGGTCAGATTTTTAAATTCCCTGGTAACCATTTTGTCTATTTGATGACATGACATTGTTTAGCATCTTCAAGAAAAAGTTCTGGTTTACCTCTCTCTCCACAAAAAGACTGAGAGGGAGATCCAAGTGAAAGGGTGCAAGAGAACTTAGTGACTCCTTGAGGTGTTTGTCATTTTTTGGCTTTTTCCCCCTTTGTTGTATTATTTCTTTTATGTATTGTCTTACTGTGCTTAATGTACCTGAGTTTGAAAAGGATGAAGACAGCTGCTACCATTAAGGACCAAATTTCACGCTACCACTAAACAAACAAAACAAAAAAAATCCACTCGGTCTCTGTTAAATTGCATGTGTTTTTAAAGGTATTTGGAGATTCACCTAAGCTTTAGAGAGAGCTGAGCAGCTCAGAAAGCCTGTAATTTGGACATAACTTTTGGACCTGATTTTCATGTTTCTGCTGCTGTGTAAGTCTCTGAAGAGCAATAGCTAACTTATTACTGTAATTTTTTAAGGCTTTAAAGTGCCTCAGGGGTTCTCTGAAACTAATTTTCTATTTCTGGGATTCCCTGGATTCTTAATAAGAGATGGTGACATAATGATTACAGAAATTCTCATTTTAGTATGAAAATTGTCCCTTCTCTTCTTTAGTACTTGCCTCCTCCTAGCATTGAATTATCACAGGGATAAAAATTGGTTAATTATATATTTCTAACTCTCCCGGCAAACTCCTCTTGCCCAGTATTTATTTGGTGTCTTTTAACCACCTAAGGGGGAAAAAAATGAATTCATTCGAGCTACCAATATTTATCTATGGACTGTAGCAGTACAATGAATTGTACTATAGAAGGGATTATTCGAGATGTTCTGGGGGTGTATTGTATACCTTCCAGTTTTCTTCATTTCCGAATTAAATTTTCTTGATGTTGGTCACCTTTATATCACCTCAAGGTTTAACTGTGAAGGAACAAGTATGATGGGGATAATAGTCTTGAAAGGAGACATTGTACATAATTGAAAAGAAGAGGAAAGAAGGACTTGTCCGTTTTGATAATTTGCTGTAGGTGGCCAGTGTTGTTTCTCATAGGGAAATCTGATCCACCTGTCATATTGGCTCCTAAGGAACTGCTGTTGTAAGCGGCTCATCAAGAGTTGAACTTCATGTAGCCTTGCTGGGAATATGGAAAAGGAAGAAAGCCACAGGACTGCCCATTCAGTCTTGGAAAGATCTGGATGATTCTGCAAAGCAAAAATGACTTGAAATTTATGTATAGACACCTCTCTACCAATCCATCTTCAACTGACCGAATGTTGTATAATAGCCCTTCTCCAAAGCAGGGTGGAATGTTCTGGTTTCACCACAGATTTTCTACTCATTTCATTTTTGGAATCAGCTTATAGATTCCAAGTCTCTTTTGTATATAACCTTTATTCTTTTGCTTTTTAAAAAATAATTTTGTTTCATATTTAAAGTCCTTGTATTAGTCAGTGATTAATGTTCAACATTATTTCAACCATTCGCCATTACGCAAAGAATTACTTATTGTGTTTTAAATAAAACTGGTGTAGGAAAGTCTTGACGTTGTGAGTTAAGTAGTGTACGTCACTCCAGCCTAGGATCGGCCTCAGTAGAGGTGCCTGTCAGAATGTTGGCCTTTTGTGTAAGTGCTCCAATTTCACAGATGTCATTTGGCTTTAGAAACTTCTTACAAGGACATATTGCCAGACTTACCCACACGTATGCTTAGTTTTAGCCACATATGCTTTAGGCGTGAGCGAATATTATGTGTTTTTTTTCCCTGACACTGATTCTTAGCCATTATCATTGTAACTCAAGTAATGCCATTATTTGTTTCAAAAGAGAGGGTTTAGAAGTGATCTTAAATGGATTCAACAATTTAGATTTCAAGCATGAATACTAATATAAAAATTTTAATTCAGGAAAATCCAGGTTTTTTCAGTAGTGGGCTACTTTTTATGGGATTACATGTAAATTGTTGGCCACCAAAGAACTTAGATTTTTTTTCCAAATAGTAATCCCAACAAGTTGAATCAGCTTGTCACAAAAGCAAAACATTGTGTATTCAGTTTTGAGTGATGATGGTTTTCAATTTTAACAGAAAAAGGCCCAAATGTTGCAGAGTTTGGCCATAGCCAGAAATTTCAAGATAGTCCATGACTGATACATTTGTCTCATAATGATCCCTAAAATTGTGACTTAAACTCAAATGTCAGTGGGTCCTCTTTCATGGCCAGAACAGAGTTTATTTTCATCTTGACCAATCATTGAAACCACCATTGAGATAAGACTGATGTTTAATAATTACAGCTTCAGAAATAAAGCGTATTGTATATTGGTCTAAGTTTTATGATCTTTTTCTAAAATTGTGGCTTTATCTTGCTAGAATATTTCTGTAGTTCTCTAAAATATTTGCTTTGAATTTGTCAGTTTGGCAACAACTGGTCTCCAGTTGCTGTTTAATAGGTAACACTTAAACTAGCTAACGTTTACTGAGTACTTAGAATATGTACTCATTTCACATAACCATTTTGACACTAAATCTTACACTGCATCAAAGATCACTGCTTTTTATATTCACTGTAGTGTTAAAGTCAGTGTGTTCAGATTTAACAATGAGAAAAAGTACAGGTATAGTCCTATGTGCAGTTGAGTTTGATTTGTTGAACCTTCAAGAGCTCTTTTTTTCTTAAATCTTTCAAAGCTGCTCAATAAATACATGCAAGTTTCCAAAACCCACACGTCTGACTACATGAGCAATTTACTCAAACTCTGCTTCAATTTATTTGAATTTGCAAAATGTCAAGAGCATGAGCACAAAGAAAATACTTGACCTTTTTCTTTACAGAATAAAATGGACAGACAATAATAGCAATGACTCTAAAGAATAATCCAGAATTTTACTTGTTATTTAAAAAAATTGAGATTTACTGAGTAGGCCTATTAAAGTATTTAGATTTAGTTGGATTTAACTGCTGAGATATGACTAAGTCTGATTCTATGGTGATGAGCAAAAAAACGTATTAAAACAGTATTGCTTGTCCCTGGGTTTTTTGGTCTTTAGACTGATTTGTCCTCAGGAGTAAACAACTTGTAGAGTTAAGAATAGGGTAAACAGCCAAGATTTAGACTGAAGAGGACAAGAAAAAATTCTCAAAAGACTCCTATCTGTTGAATAAAAGTGAAAAAGGAAATTGGGTGGATCAAGAACACTTGAAAAAAATTTCAAGGGGAGGGAGAAGCAAAATGGAAGGAACCCTTATCCAATAGCTGTGTGATTAATGAGGTCATTTATTGGTATAGGGAGCTTAAGGAGACTAGTCAAGTTGAGAAAGTACTGTAAGGAAATGTGAAAGAAATAACCTTGGCATGACTGCCACAAAATATTTTGGACTGCTATTCCTTGAAGTTCGAATTAGGACGTTATGAATTCTAACCATTAGTAAACACTACTGGCCACTAGGGATAGATGAGTGTAAAGCAAACCCCTGCCCTTAAAATGCTTAGAGAAAAAAAACTTAAGAGAAATCTAACAAACGAAGTAGGTGCAAATATTAAATGGTTGATGCTATAGAGGGAATAAGAAATCAATGAGTTTGAGACTGGCCAGGGAAGTCTGTGTTAGAGCTGGAGTTTTCTATAACTTAGCAAAGGAGATGATTTGAGCTGCAAACAAGGCCAAATTGAGCAGGTAAGTCTTGTTTTTAGTGACCTCTGACCATGTCATTGGTACTCTGAATCTGCCTTGTGTCATTCTTGGTCTCAGTTGTCAACTAGACTTAGCTAAGATATACACTGATTTTTTAAAAATGCAAATCTGAGTCACTGCTTCATAAAATCCTCCAGTTTCCTCTTCCCTTAAAAATTAAATTCAATTCTCAGCAAAGTTTGTAAGGCCCTGTCCTACCAGCCTCTCCCGCCACTCACCATGCTCTATACTCCAGCAAAACTGACTATTCTCATACACTAATGTCTCTAGCCCTTTGCCTGTGTTAATGCTGCCTGTCTTCTGCCTAAAAGTCTCTTTTGGCTAACTCCTACATGTTCTGTGACCGCCAGGCTACCTCTCCCAAACCCCTACTTTCCCTGTCTCCCAGATTGGGGTTTGGTGCCTGTCCACTAGGCACATACTCTGTTTACCCCCATTGTTTTAAAATCATTACCTGTGTACTTCCTCAGCCGAATATAAACTTGTTGAGGCACATATTCTTACTAACCTATATATTATCAGTACCTAGTACAGATTTGGCACATAGAAGGTGCATTAGTTTTATAGGGCTGCCATAACAAAATACCACAGCCTGGATGGCTTAAATAACAGACATTTTTTCACAGTTCGGAAGGCTAGAAGTCCAAGATCAAAGTGTTGGCAAGTTTGATTTCTGAGGTGTCTCTGGTTTGCAGATGGCCACCTTACTACATTCTCACATGGCCTTTCACTGCATGTATGTATGTGTTTTAATCTTTTTTATAGACACCAGTCACCTTGAATTAGGGCCCACCCACGTGATCTCATTTAACCTTAATTACCTCTTTAAGGGCCTATCTTCAAATGCAATAACATTCAGAGGTACTGGGTTTAAGGGCTTTGCCATATGAGTTTTGTTTTTTTATTTTGGGGGAGGGGGGCACACTTCACCCATAACAGAAAGCATTCAATAAATATTTGCTAAATGAATGAAAAAGTTCTTGACCCATTTCTGTGGCTGTTGATCTTTGCTAGACTGCCCTTGTCTTTCTTAAGCCACTCTTCGGCATGCTTCTAATTAATCACAGCCATTCAGCAAGTTATGAGGCTACTGGTTGAGATGGAAGAAACTGCAAGCTGAGAGGATGGATGTTCAATATTTGGGATGCCTGGAGCTGCCTCTTCTTGGGGTAGGTCTCTGGACCAGCAATTCTCAAGCTTATTTTGCAGATACCTTGGAAGTAATATGAAAATCTCAAATTTTATAAAAACATTATGGTTAATTGCAATAAAAAAGGAAATAAATGTTTCATAGTACTTTCTACTATTTAATGAATTCATTGAATCAGTGATATATTCAGAAATTTCAAGGTTCAAAATGTGTATAAAGGTATATCAGTAAAAATCCTCCCTTCTACTACTACCCCAGCTAGCCGAAAACCACGTTACAGGTTCTCAGGTATTCTTCCAGAGATATTTCAAGCATATACAGTCTTTACTTAATGTTGTCAACAAGGTTCTGCAACTTCAAGCAAAACAATGTATAACAAAACCAATTTTACCATAGGCTAATTGAGTTACGATCCTGTGGCATCAACATTATAACAAAATGATGAACAAAATGATATTATCTGAGGACTTGCTATATAAGCAAATTATACTCCTATACAAAATCATGTATAAAACACACATTCTGCACCTTACATTTTTTATTATGTTTACTATGAATAGTTTTAAATTATGAATTACAAATTCATAACAAATCCTGTTTCATCTATACCCATATCATTTACCCCTTATTCTGGCCCCAAGAGCTTAGACTAGGGTGAGGTAAGCAAGGTGCCTGTGCACAATTTAAGGAGGTGCTCATTCTTAGGGTTGTACTCACACATGAGTGTGACTCTTTAAATTTTGCTCCTTAGGCTTGTCCCATTTGAGATCCAGCCCTGCTGACTCATACTGGATTATTGCTAAGTAAATCTCAAATATATCATAGTTTGTTTTTTGTCTTACTGTATATTGAATGTCATTTCATATCAGAACATAAACGAGCTTTTTCAATCTTGGTTATATTTGCACAATATTACACTATGAATATGCAATAATTGAGCAAGTCCCTGTTGATGGACTTGCTATTTTTATCAATGTTGCTATTTTTATCAATGCTGCAATGTTTACATTATATTGCACATGTAAGTTTATCTGTAGAATTAAATACCTACAAGTGGAGTTTAATAACTGACAATACTTTTTGATCTTTGCCAATCAAATGGGGAGAAAAGCTTTCTCAGTGTAGTTTGCATTGTCATATAATAGTGAACTTGGGCAACTTTTCACATGATTGAAGACCATTTGTATTTCTTTTGCTATAATCATTTTTCACATCCACTGCCAAGTTTTATTTAGGGCCTTTGTGTCAGATTAAAAGTGGCTGCAAATTCTTTAACGTACCTCCTATCAAGAGGTGGGCTCTATTTTTCCGGCCCTTGAATATCGGTTGAGGTACGAACACTATACTATTCTAGACCTGGACTTTAAGGGTAACTTCCGCCTTGGTTTCTTAGCGTCCTGGGCCCCCACAATGAGAAGGCATACCACTCTGCCAGAGGGACCCTGTGGTGAGGCACAGACGTGGACAGGGACTCACCTGAAGCCTTCTAAATACACACACCAAGGCCTTAGCTACATCTGGAGCAGAAAAAAAATCACCCGGCTGAGACCTGCCCAAATTCTTGACTCACAAAATAATCAATTATAACAAAACAATTGTTGTTGTAAACTAAGTTTTGGAATATTTCTTACATAGCAATAGAGAACCAGAACAGCATTTGTTTTTTTTGAGTTCTTTATATAATAGTAGAATTAGTCATTTGTTTGATATAGTGCAAATATATTTTTCTTACATCATTTGACTTTGCTTATTATGGGGCTTTTTAGACATGCAAAACTTTAAAATTGTTATGTAATAGAATTAATCACTTTTTCTTCTAAAAACCAGCTAGAACATACAGTTGAGAAAAAGATAATTTTTAAGAACAAAAGAGATGAAATGTCTATAATTAAACTAGATAAATTAGAAAAAAGAAACTAAAGAAAACAAAAACATCTCAAAGACAAAAAGGAAAATTTGAACAAATGAAAAGACATCATGTACTTAAATTTTTAAAAATTCTGTTGTTCTTAGAGTTTAAGGTAATCACAGTAAAAATATGAGATTTTTAAATTTAGATAAGCTGATTCTAAAGTGCGTAAGAAAAATAACCAATAATAACTAGGAAAATTCTACTTACTTCTAGTCCTACCAAATAACAAAACATTATAAAGCTACAATACTTGTAAGAGTAATACTGGTCCATAGATAGATACAAAGATCAACAGAACAAAATATACACTATATAGATAGACAAATACACTTGGTATATTTATAAATGTAGCTTTTTAAGTTGAATGAGAAACGATGGGTTATTTTTTTGAAATGATGATGGAAAGCCAGGCAGTCATCTAGAAATTATAAAGCTGTATCAGTTCTAGGACACACAAGGATAAATTTTAGATTAAATCTCATTTGAATATTTAAATTTTAAAAAGCAAAATCATTTTTAAAAAATCAAATCACTTCTGATGAGTCGTATAATCAGTCAAATGATTGGTTGTAGGGCTCAATCCTCAAAAGTTTAGGAATCATGACTTCTAAAACAGGAAAATGCAAAATCAAGTAGCTAAGCATCTCTGCATCTGAGATGGGGTAGTGTGTTCTATCCATGCTGTCTTTGATTTCAGCAAATATAACTAGTTTCCTCTGTGTACAGCACGACTCTCTACTGGATTTGAGGCAGGGAAATTTCTTAAAAGAAGTTATCATCCCATGGATTTTTTAGCTCTCTATAATTTAAAAATCACTTTCATACCCTTCAATCTCAAACCCTTTATGAGGCTCGCTCTAGTAATATCCTCCTTAAACAGAAGACCTCAGTTAAGCAAGTTATGTTTCTGTCACTTGCCACAACTCTGAGCTTCAGTTTCCTCATATATAAAGTGGGTATTCCTATTAAATGAAATTTCTGCCATTGCCAGGCCACAAGCCCATTACATAACCTAACAAATTCCACCGCCTCCCCCTCCAGCTGTAGTAGAAAACTGAGATCTTACTGTGTACACTACTTCACTGAAACGTCAGCCCCATGAGGAAGGAATGTTTTTATGTCCATTTTGGTAACAACTAAGCAGAGACGTGACAAGTCTTAGGAACTTATCCTTGGTCATACACTACAAGCGAGCTGGATTTGAGCCCAGCAATCAGATTTCAGGGCTTTCACGCTTAACAGCCGTGCTCTGTAGCCATTTCACAATAATGCCCACAGAGAGTTGAATCGGGTCGGTTGATAATGGAGTAAACCACAGCAGCTGGTTTTTGCATTCTGACAATCTGTGGCTGACAGTGCTAGGTGTGGGAGTCCTGAATCTAGGCTTCTTACTGCTCTACACTCCTCACCAAAACGTGCCATCAAGTCTAAATTCCAGGGAAATAGGCCTTAGAAAAAGCACTAACACAATCCATTTCACATACAGAGGGATGCAATGGGATGACTTGGCTCTTTAAAGCCCGCTCAAGAAATAGAGACGCAAAGGCACCGGCTTCTCGACGCCTCCCTCCAGGTGGCGCTGTAGGACTGACGCTCATTCCAAAGCGCAGCCGCCGCAACTTGGCCTCCCCCGGAGGCTATAGAGCACAGAGAAAAATTTTACACCTGTGGCTAGAGAAGCATTTCCCAGGAGCCGCCCGGGCCTCCTCGCGGGCACAGTGCACTTCCGGTTCCGGTTTTGTTACGGAAGTAGCTATCTGAGGTAGCGTGCAGTACAGTGTGGCCTTTGTCAGCTTCCACAATGGCGTACCGTGGCCAGGGCCAAAAAGTGCAGAAGGTGATGGTGCAGCCCATCGTATCCTACGCAAGATGTCAGGACCGCTAGGTTGGGGCCAGAAAAGGGGAGCTAAGGAGCAAACAGTAGGCCCAAGGGAGCGGAGTGTGGACCTACGTCCCGTGAGCCCCCGGGGCGCCAAAGACCGGGAGAAAGCGCGGGACATTGAGGAAGTGGGGATGGGGGCTGGCGGGCTTGGGCAGACCCCTGCCGAGGAAATGCGGGAAGGAGCGGAGGGGGACCACCTTCATTAGGTACTGAATACAAGCAGGGGGTATCGATCTCAGCGGGAGGAAGATGGCGGTGCTAAGAAAACTCCAAGAGAATCAGAGAGGAGATGCCTCAAGAGTATTTAAGGAACCCCTAATGGGTGCCTAGTTGGGCCCTTTTCGTGGCGTAGGCACCAGACCTTGCGTTCCGAAAACAAAGATGCGATGCGGATAGGATCGACCAGTTTCAAGGAGCAGAGTTTATGCGTGTATTTTTTTCCTTAACCATTGGTGCAGAACCTCATCTTCAGATACTTGCAGAATGTACGTAAGTTGTTCGTTGTTTTTTAGTAATTTTTGAGTAAAAGATGAATTTATTTGGCTGTTTCGTTATCCTGTCTGATCATTGTTTCTAGAGTTAAAAATAGATGAAATTGTGGATTTGGGAAGTGATGCAGGCCTGGTGGACTGTCCCCCGAGTGCGGACTCTAGTCTTACAGGAGCGGGCCCTTGACTGGGCGCAGGAAAGAATTCAGGCGAATCAGTTAGAGATAAAATGAAAGTTTATTAGAGAAGGAATAGCTCCACAGAGACATAGAATGAGAGACCCCAAGTGTTCAAAGAATTCAGTTCAAATCTGTTTCCTG